AAAAATAAATATAGTTATACATTTCACGTTAATGTAATTTAAACTATTACTTTAAGATTTAATTTTTTAGAAATTCAACGAACGAATTTTTTTCTTCCATGAAAACTACCGAACCAACAAGAACGCAATACGGAGGAATTGAATACCACAGCTAAGTATGTCGTTTTGTACATAATTTTATTGCAAAAGATGTGTTCTTGACAGTAGCTGCATTCTTTACAAATAGTCGATTACATACTATTTTCTGTATATAACAAGAGATACATGTTACATTCTCTATTATAATCAAACAGCACAGTACATTAACAAACTTCACACTTGTCGAATTAAAAGGAACAGAATAAAAGTAATAATTACTAACTGTTAAGAATGTAACATATATCGGATACTCTTCTTCTTTAGAACGATCTTAAAAAGGAAGTACTATAAATAATAATTAACATTACATTTTAGAAACATCTCTCAATATTTAGAGCGACTAGCAACAGAGTTAAGTGCAACTATAATACAACACTGATACATATGCATATATAATATAATACTTTGATCTCCATTTTTTGAATGTTGCGAAACTTGTGATATTTACTAGAAAAATGTTATTACTCATAAAAGATTTACTATAGAAAATAAAAATAAATAAATAAAAAAAAGTAATTTTTTGAAGAACACTTGTGCAATCAAATTTAATAGAATCTGACAGCGTTAAAAATATCGATATTTATTCACTAATAAAAAGAAACATGATATTTATTAGATGAATAATTTTCTCTAATTATCTTATAATTTCATAAATGAAATACTTTTTCGATTTGCATCTCGCAATTGCAAAACATTATTAATCAGAGAATATCATTAACACAATTTGAAAGAAGATATGTACATGTCAATTATTTGATGTAAACTTAATACATTTTTTACATAAATTATATATTATAATATGAACATTTTGTAAGTAATCATACAATTTACGAAATATATGCATGCATTCTTGACTTTCTCGTAAATGCATATTTTCTGACAAAGCAAATATTGGAAGCAGCACCATAACTGGTTTAAGTTAGAAATGATGGAATGTATTTGTTAATAGTAGGAAGTTATTAGAACACATTTGCAAGTATAAAAGACAAATGAATAGAAATTTAACACATCACTATAACTTGATATTTAACTGTTGTAGACGGAATTAGTTTAAATAGAGCAATGTAGAAGATAATAAGACAATGATTTAATCCTCCTCATGTCTTTCATGAAATATTATTCATGCAACATTTTCGAAAATTTTCAAAAACAATTGTTTTTAACATGCGTTCAAAGAATCTTTTCAGAAGGAAAAGACAAAAATATTACATTTTTCATTAATTCTTATATTAAATTACTCATTAATTTAATATGTGGCACGCTTTTTTTAGATATATATTTACATTATATCTAGTTTATACATTCTCATTAAGCTGTAATATTTGTTATTACGAAAGATAATATAACGAATCATATAACGATCATATAACGAATTTTTCTATTTTGTTTCTTTAATTTAAAGAAATGTTTATATGTTCATTGTAAGATTTTTCGAACGCTGTTTTCACGGACATCTTTTTTCTAGAGTCAACATGTAGTATCATTACTAATTTAGACAAGAGTAGGATTATTGATTTTTACTGGCATTACATTTCCTATCTAATAAAATTTTTTTTTATGAGTAACAAAAATAACAGCATGTACAAAAATACAAACACAGTATTGAGATGCCTAACAATAAGTTATCATTCTCTTTAGCGTTGCAATAACAATAATGCATGTGAGAGCAGTTGATTTTTACCAACATTGTTACTTACTCAAGGCCCAGAGCCCAATTGATACCTTGAACTAGAAACAAAATTAACGGTTGCCATGCAACAAGCCACCTTAACCAATCCAGCAATTGACCGTATAAAACATGCGGCCGTTGCCAACTGCATTGTTCGTTAAGGCATTTAATAAATATTTTTTGAACCGTAAAATGGTTGTTAGTAGTAATTTTTTTCGTGTTACATTATAAAAGGATACGGATTGCGGAACATTTTCGTTAAGTCGACTTTCTCTTTGCAATAAGGACAAGTTTGCTTTTTCCCCACAATGCACCAGCCCCTAATGCAAAACTCGTGAAAAACATGGCCGCAAGTAAGCTTGTATGTATTTTCAATCACACCTTCCTCATGCTCAGAAACTAGAAGTTTGTTTCCACATACTGCACAAACATTTACCTCCAGAATCCTGGTTGGCATGCTATCGGGAGTATAATACTGAAAATTACATTAAACATCATAAAATTACATATATAACATATATTTAACGTCTTATATAATGCATATGTCTAATATATACTCCGATATGTGATGCCATTGTGTCAGCACATATTTCAGCAATATCTCTTCCTAATACTCCAAAGTAAAGACCGTAAAATATGAACAACATGCCCCAATCCATCCAAACGTGAGGCTTAACATTTAATATGATATTTAGACCAAAGAATGTAAGCAAAATTAAAATATATCCAATTATACCCAATACATAGCTGAGCTTATAAATAAAATAAAACCATTTGTACACTAATCTGCAAAGGAATAAAATTTTATTATTTTATGATTATTGCTGATACATCATTAATAATTACTTGGCATTACCTAGGTGTGGTACCTTCGATTGGTCTCTGAATGGCTTTTCTTACTACTAAACCTGTTATACACGAGGATAAAAGCCATAAAAATATGAATCTCCACCAATGATTTTTCAAACTAATTCCAAATGGAATAATCCACATGGCTACTAGTGTTACAAGCTGCAAAAATAATATTGTATTAATATATAATTTCAGATATTTGAAATGTGACAAAGAAAACAATATTTTATTCCACCTGGTATGACTTAAAGTGCCTCTTCTTCCACTCAATCAGTACAATCTGTGCTACTGTTAACGTCACTAACAATATAAGCAGCATTTCTGCGTGCATAGATTCGTGACCTCGATGCTGTTCGTGCATTTTTATGTGCTCCACTCTAGAAAATTAGTTTAATATAAATTACATCGACATATACATTTCCACTTTTTTTTCTAATCGTAGACGTTACAAGTCAAACTGTAAAAATCGACAAAAGGTTTTTGTTATAAAATAACTATATAATTTTGTAACTTGCCTCCATTTTTCCTCTGGAGTCAATTCCGCTTCGCTCTAAAAATAAAAAGTGTAACAGCTACTAAAGAGTAACATATCCAATATAAAATAATATGAAAAATTTCTTAATGAAAAGATTATGCAGTCTTTGAACAAACATATTGAAAAAATATTATATATGTCAAAAATAAAGATAAAGAAAAATATATGTTAAACTTTTGCAAGTCAGCGAGTAATTACGCTATGATTGTTATTCGAAAGGTTATGTTTTGATGACGCGTACCATATTCATATAATCAAGTGATTAAATACATAAAATTATAGCACGTACTTTGTTTGGTATTTGATGCAAATTCGTGGTGTGCATCGTGAATGTTGTATCACATTAATTCACAGAGAAATATGTGTTAATAAACTGAAGCGGCTGCCGCGTTGCAGAAACATCTTAGCAGTTAGCACATTATCTTAGAATACCGTTAACAGTATTGAACATTCACTGAATGACCGGCATTTGAGTTATCTGCATTATCATGAACAAATTTTTTAAATTTCTATCAATTATACTATTTTTCACCTAATGATATATATCGTCCAATATTCTTTTGACTTTCTATCAATTTTGAGAATTCGAATTTTTGCAGTTATACATATATAAAATTTTAGAAAGATTTAAAATTACAATTGCTAAGATAGTTAATTAGTATCTGTCCGATTATTAGATATATTTTTCTTATTTTCTAAAAATTTAATTTTTTGTCTAAAATCTTACAAATTTTCCAAATTGCAATTCTTGGAATTTTGATGATAGTATCATTTCTTATTTGATTCCGATATTTTACTTGTATTTGAGAGTTTAGAATTTTAATTCAAATTTTTTACTATCAAACTTTTAGAAATTTACAAATGCTTCTTTACTGATTTTTTGTTCACCAATGCTTTGTTAATTTTTGGTTATTCAAAGTTTCGCGGTTCACAAAATATAAAAAAATATGAAAAATATTATATTATCTGTTATCGATAATTACGAACTTTGCAATTGATAAATTACTGTAAGTCGGTTAAGTTAACTACAAAGTTTGATTTTACCATTTTTATTTTTTTTTTATTTTTAGATTTTTACTGAAATTTTGTTATCGTATTTGCCTGCGATTTTTAATCATGCTACATTATAATATATATACATATATATATATATATATATATATATACACAATATAACACAAATATATACAGTATAATATAGAGATTGTTCGAAAAACCAACAATACTTAAGGATAGATTTCTAAGATTATTTTGAGACAAAAATTCTATTACCAAAATATCGAGAATAATAGTTTTTAAATTATAAGCACTTAAAATTATTGAATCATGTTGTCTAAAAGTTCGCACGTTTAGATGTAATACAACGAAAAATCCAACCTCACCTAAGCGCGATATTTAAGTGCTTATAATTTAATTCACTATTATCCTTTAATTCAATTCACTATCACACTTTAGTATTAGAATTTTCATCTTAAAATGAATCTACTCTCAGGAATCTATTCTTAATTAAAGTGTTATTACAATCTTTTACCGAACACTTTATATATAGTGAAATATATTTGTTATACACATACATATAATAAAATAAAATATATTTTATGAATTGGGGGCGTATTATTTTGAAGGAAGAAAAGAAGCGTTCACATTTCGATGATCAAACAATGAATTCAAATCGCCCGCGCGCGGTCTTGCGAAATTAGTTGGCGTTTTCGACGAGTGAGCGCGCGTCGAGCGCAGTCGTCGTCATTCGGATCTCTACGGCGTTAAGCCACGCCCAGAACCTCATTTCGAGCGGGAAAGACCTGAGCGTCTGCGGTACCGTACGTTGAGAAAACGCGCGACGTGACAAAATTCCATTGCCGTGAAATCGCGCGCCGTCGTACGTGTCAGCGGGTCGCGCGGTGTTCGCGTGTTACTCGCGTGTGCCAACAGTGTCGGGTGTGTCTGAATACATTTCGTACACGTGGATAACGCGGTTACCACCGCCGCGGGGTTAGTTCTCGCCGGAATTCTACGGAAGGATATACCGCCGAGTCTCCGATCAGTCTTCCCTCTCCCCCCCGAACGGTCGCCGTCGTGCCGGAGGATTTGCTTTCGGTGAGTAACCCAGAATATTGTCTTCCTTCTCACGAGCGACGAGCCGCGGCGGCGCGAGTTGCGCGGATTTGCGAAATTCCTCGATCGCGACCTCCTCGCCGACCAACCTCTCATACCTTTAGCAGGCGAAAAATTGTTTGTGTTTATTTAAAGGATGAGGGGAGGAGGGAAGGGGACAAAAACGACCGTTTGTTCTCACGTCGAGTCGCAAAAACAAGTCGGGGTTTTTCAGAAGAATTCACGCTCGTGAATCGCACGTGAATTCAGGAAACTAAGTATATACATGCCGATCGATTTGAGGAATATTTCTGAATCTTTTTGATTTTCTTTCTTCCTTCTGGCGAGTGACGTCTACCGGAACGGGCGCAATGTCGGTTTTGCCACAAGAACGGCTGTTTCGCATTTCGGAGCACGGTTGCAGAATAGTCGGACATTCTCATGACACCGTGTTCTACAAACGGCAATTAGCCGCTATCGTAATTATATTCTGTTGTTTAACGTTCCATACTCGCTCCTTTTCACGAAACTTTCAAGGACTTCACGCGACTGTCTTAAGTAGTGATTAGAGGTCAGTTACCGGTCAGCCTTTCTACTTCGACTCGCGATGCATCGAGTTTATCTGTTTTCTACAAGATAAGCCGTGTACGCGGCTTAGATTTCGTCGCGAGATCGCGGTCGGCAATGGTGTGCCAAATCGTCGCGAAGAGGAGCCTTTTTCCCTCGGTTTTTTTTCCCCCCTTTAAAGACGCTACGCAGTTTAGCGGTCCATGGTTCAGCGGTGAACCTCGATGGTGGAAGTTTTGTCGGCGGCACCGCGATTACTGACCCTGAGGACGCGACATGGAATGCGGAAAACGGCGCGGAGAAGGTCAATACTTTCGCGACCGGCTGCCGTTCGATCTTTGCATCCAATATTGAATCGAAGAGATCGCGTTTATCTGCGATCCTTACTCGTATCCACATTGCAATATACATAAATATATATAGAATTGTGTTATAAAGTGCACTATTAACCTTTAGTTCACGATGATTTTCCGGTCCTGTACTACATAGAATGGGTCATTCGTGTTTCGGGTTAATTTTCATCATTACTTTGACGAATATACAAAATTATTACAAGTAATTCTTACGTATGCTTTGACGTTTTTAGAAAGTATTTGTAAGGTTGTATATTTAAAAAGTATATATATATGTATTTACTGTGAAACACTAATCATTATAAAAATGGATTGATTTACTTTTTGACTTACATGGGGATTAAAAGTAATAATGTTATTTAATTCATGAAATTAAGTTATTATTGCTCCTTCAATATATACTCTAAAAGATTTTAAGAGATGATTCCTTACATTACATAATTCAAGACGAAAATTTTGTATGATTGATATATCGTTCAAAATAACTTATGCCCATTTCTACCAATGCAGTTTAACTTTAATCTCGGTTCAATTAATTCATCTTCTTCTAATTTTAAGAATAAGAAAAAGATGAAGAGTAAATTGAACCGAGATTAAAGTTAAACTGCATTGGTAGAAACGAGCGTTAGAGTTTCAAAGGATGTCAAAATTAAAGGAAAAGTTTTGTCTTTCCCAAAAATTTCGAAAAAAACTGTAGTTAAAATATTTGATAGACCATTAAATGTAGACAATTTTACCAAAATAATCCGAAATTTTTAGAAAAAACAGAATTTTTCCTTCAATTTTGACACTATATTTTTGAAAGTAAACTGTTTCAAACTGTTTCAAAGGCTCTCCAGACGACATGGCCATAATGTACGTACATTCGCTGAATATTGGCCTACATTCATATGGCTAATTATGCATGTAATATTTGCTATAATATTGACGTACTTGGCCATGTCATCTGGGGAGCCGCCTTTAATTTAGAATAATGAAAATAATTCTCTAAAATTTCTCTCTAAAATTTTATAATGCTATCACCCTACATATACAATGAAAAGTACATATATATATGTATATATGATAAAATATATTTTTATATAAAAATATAGATACATTATATACACATATATATATAAATATATACGAAATGTTTTACGCGTGGCATTTATCGTCGTACTAATCTATCATGTACGTTAATTACAATTCCACGATACACATCTCATCCTCCTCGCCGATTTTGTTCGCGTTAATCGCGAGAATTAATCGCCGGCGACGACGATTTTGTACCGTGGAGACAAGAAAATTTAGGCTCTCTACTCGCATCATGCATTTAACGTTAATTGTGGACTGTTCGATTCTCAGACTCAGATAATGTCTCACGCACGATTCACACGTACGATAATACGCGCTAAATGTGAGATATGAATGTGGATCTTGAAGCTCGAAATCTCTAATTATGGGACAGCGTTGAAAAGAATAAACTCGTCTGAATATATTCGCTAATTTTCTAATCCAAGAGAATATCCCGAGGAGCATTCTGCCTCCGATTGTCAACACCATAGGTTCCTAATTTTCTATTTTCCCAGCGCATCGCTATTAATATAATTTGTATTGCTCGTGAAAAGGAGAGAAAGGAAAGGGAGAGAAGGAAGAGAAGTTTGATAATGCAATTTCGCCGGTACACGCGGAACGAACGCGTAAAGTCAGGGAACCCCGAAGGAGCAAAGTCCTCTCACGGCACGGTCATTTGGACGTCGCGCAAATTGGCAGACCTCCAGGTTTTCCGTACTCTCACCCGTCGGCGTTTGCTCGCTGCCCGCGAATATCGCATTCCTCGTCAGCATCCGCGTGTATATGTATGTGTATGTGTGTGAGAGAGACAGAGAAAGAAAGAGAGAGACAGAGATTCGCTTCCGCCATGACGACGTGTCTAAACGCCACACGTGCCTCACGCTTGAGGATTGAATTAATTTATGTTAGGCATGAATTTTTTAACGATAAACATCACACCCAGAGAAAGGTTTCTTTGATTAAAAAAAATATTTCTTTACTACGGTTAAAGAAAAAATTTCTTTGATTTGAATATAATTTCTTTAAATTAAATAAATTGTTTTATTTGATTTCACAAAATAATGTTTAAATCAATGAAGTGACGTTTGAATCAAAGAAATTTTTTCTTAAATTGTATAGCAAAGAAACATTTCTTTAAATCGAAGAAACCTTTCTCTAGGTGCAGAGGTGACCTCAAAGACTTTTCTTTACAGTACAAAATTTGCGTTATACTAAAAATTTGCGTTAGTACATAAAAAGATTGCTATACGTGAAATTAGTAAAGTTAAATGTAAAATTGTATGTAAATATTTTCAACTATTAAATACTCAGTAACGATAATTGCAGTAATGGCTGCATTGAGCAGAGAAAATAGCTTTGCAATTGTTGTAAGATTCTTTAATGAGATTGATTATACATTTAGATCCCGTAAGGAACTAAGAGAACAAGAATTAATCATACAATATTATAAAGAATTTTACAATGGAGCCGTTATCATGTTATTATTTAACGAAATATATACGTATTATTTCATTGTCAATGTTATTGTATTATATACCATTGTATTTAGATACTTTATGTAAAACAGTTTAATTAATGTACATCCAATGTAGCGTGAGTTATTGTAGCTAATTTAATTGAACTCGCTCAGTGCACATTGGTGCACATTAAAGTCGTACACAAATCGACGTAAAGATACACCCAGATAAAAGGTTGCTTCGATTTAAAAAAATTTTCTTTGCTATTTTTTCTTTGCGGTTAAAGAAAAAATTTCTTTGATTTAAACATTATTTTTTAAAGTCAAATAAAATTTATTTGATTTAAAGAAATCATAATTTGAACGTCATTTCTTGGATTTAAACATAATTTCTTTAAATCAAATAAATTTTATTTGATTTTAAAAAATAATGTTTAAATCAAGGAAACTTTTTTTTTATAGCAAAGAAAATTTCTTTAAATCAAAACAATCTTTTTTTCTGAGTGTATATGTTTAATGTAAACATATAGAAAACGGATCAAATCGCGAAATCCTCAATAAACTTTATTATTAGTTTAAGTAAAATAATATATTTCAATACACTTTATTATTTTAGTTAGGTAAAATAATATATTTCATAATTCAAAGTTATCTATATTTTACTTTTACATTCAAATCAAATCAATATGTAACAATGGCTTTAAATGGCAATGAATTAATGGGACGTTCAATTAAATCACTATTATTAGATATTGTTTTTCTTAAAGTATTTATTACATTAAAATCTTTTCTATCAAACTTTCACTATTAAATTCATAATGTCAAATTATATTTAACGTGAGTTGTTTTTTATTATTTCTATGTGTTGCCACTCTCAATATATCGTTAATTTGACTAAAACAGTAAAGTTATACAATTTAATTCAAGAAATTGTATTGACTTAAATTTAATTTATTATTTACTAAATACATACATTAATACGGATGAGGTTTACTTTGAAACTAACCACAGAAATGAATGTATTACGTTTTAACATAGAAGTTAAAAATAACAAAATGTTATTTAACACAAAGGATTGGGTTACCATTACTCTTATCTAATCTTACAGTGTTCTAAGCATAGAAAAATAGACTTGTATTCAGAACGCGCTTATGTTAACACGCATTTAGTAATAATTCACGTTACATATACTAAACTATAGAATATCAGAAATAAAAACGCACATTTACCAATAAAAACACGTTTTGAATACAGATCATGAAATATATAAGTTGATATGTTCATAATGTTTTGAAATAAAAAACGTTAAATATAAAAAGGATTGTAAAAGTGAGTAATGCGAATGATATGTTAAAAAAGGTAAAGGTAAAATATATGAGCAGTATTAAAAATTAAAAATGTATAAACATATGGAAACAGAAAGTAATGTAGAGTATATTTTTTAAAGAAACATTATCGTAAATACGTCAAAAGCAAACGGATTGTCATAAATATGAATGCAAATGGATGACAAGAAAATTTATTTCCCGCTTTCACCTTTAACAGATATGTTTTGTTTGAGATTCATTGAT